AATAAGCTTCATGATAGCTTTTTTAGATGCTCTGTTGTTCACAAATTATGCTAAAATCTTAGTTTCAAAAACAATATCATTACTTAAGGGTGTTCACAGTTGCTTCTAAAGATTGCTTAAATTATTACAATGAATATTAGTTTTTTAATGAACATATTATACACAGATTGTATTGTTAAATAAGCCTTATTAATTTCAAATAGACACAAATGAGCTAATGCAGAGCTATTTGACTTGTTGTAATGTTTGTAAATGGACCCTGGACATGTATATATACTTATATGGAAATACACACTGGGAATTAGTTTTGGTAGGAGGTTTGGATTTTTGTGGTATAAAACCAGGCACTTTGAATGCAGTAGACCAGCAATTTGTTTAAGGTAGGTTGCTTGTTTGTTCAAAGATTGGCTCAGATTCTTTTCCTCTACCAAATATAAACTTCTTGCTCTAATAAAACTGACTTCGTTTAACTGAAAAAGATATAAATATCAGAAATCTTTTTTTTCTTAGAAATAAACCTAAGTAAATGAAATCTAGAGCTCATGCATTTAGAATTATTTTTATGTGGGTTTTGAATACTGAAATATCTTAAGTCTTGCTTTTGAAAACTGAAAAAAAATAGAGCAGTTGAGTCTTAATTTCTTTTGAGTTTTGTTGATTCAGCCATACTGATGTTATTTATAGGCTACCAACACATTTTAGCAGTTTTGAAGTAATAAGAAATGGAGCAGTTAGATTTCCGAGTTTCTTGCTACTGGCAGAAGAAAAATGTAGACGGATAAATTGTAAGCAGAAAAAGAAGTCTGGCTTGTTCTTTCAGAAATAGGTACATTTGGCTTCCTATTGTTATGAAGGGGAGAAAGCCTGCAACTTAAATGCATCCGAAGTGGTTTTCATGCAAGCAGGGACGTAGATTGTTCATGTGCCTCTTATTTAAATACACTATTTGGTGGCTTCTTTGTAAATGCACTATTTAGTAACCATTCCACTTATTTTGTCTGTAACAGAAGGTTCAGAGAATTTTTATTTTACAAAAATAGCTTGACATTATCACTTGTAAGGAAATGTGAAATAATCTACCCTGGACTCTGTTTTGGTTTTATGGAGAAGAAACTACTGTATTATAAAATACTAAAGGCACAGTTAATGAGTTGTCTGCGTGTAGTTCCTTGTCCTAAAATTATTTGGATTTTTTTTGTGGAGTAGTATTCAAAAAAGGAGGAACTTTTTTGTTTTTCCACCAGTGTCCATAACAGCCGTTTTACCTCTCAAGCTCCCTCTTATTTCCTCAGAGTTATTCTTTGTGTGTTAATTTATTAGTCCCTTCCTTGGAATCAGTAAAAACCTTTAGTATGCTTTAAATATTCAGGTAGAACAGCTTTGGAAGAAAGCAAATCAAACGCCTTGTTTTTTACTTTAAACTGTACAAAACACTCAGAGTAATCTAGGTGATATTTCAGTCTGTCAGAAATGCATGCCTGTATTTATTATACAGAGATTATAATAGATTATTATAATAAGAGCTTCTTTGCCAGATATTAAAATAGTTGCTCCATCAGTCTTAGAAATAGCTAAAGTAGAACGAAGTTATTCAGATGTTTTTGAAACCTGTATGATCTATTCAAAATTTAAGAATTAAGGAAAAAAACATTTAAATGCTTCTTATATTGGTAAGCATCAAACGGCAGATTTTCAGGCCTCATGGGCAGTAAGTAGAAGTGGGATGCAGCGGAAATGTGTTCTCTCATCCTTCCTTCTGTGAAATCGCTAAACTTACTCAGGGCAGAACATTTTTTTTAACAATGTTTGCAGAACAATGTTGAATTCTCTCCCAGACTTAACTCTGGCAAACTGGAAGAAGTAAGGAGAGAAAATCTGAAGAAGAAGAGAAGCTCAGTCTGGTTTTCATTTTCTCTACAGCTGTCATCTGGCTTTGAATTCTACTGGAGAGCTACAGCTGGAGTCATTTTATTGCTTTACCCGGCATCCTTTTGCCTGCGTGCACAGAAATGTTTTAGTAGTCTTGGAAAAAAATTCAGAGTATCTCTTAGCAACCATAGGACAGTAATTATTATACCAGCAGCTGGGAGCAAACCAGATTTCCGTTGTGCATTAAAAACTGGCGTAGGTTACTTTACAGATGATACTGAATAACCTATGCCAGGGCTGTACTTTGCAAGCTGTCCTTAAAGGATATTGAATGTGGGCGGTGTAATTGCTTTGGGCAGTAGAAAAGGGGAACGTGTGCATCTGTGTTTGTGTGTAATATTCTGTGTATTTAATATCCCAAGCTAGTTCTTGTGGAAAACTTTACATGTTTGCTTTTTACTTAAATACGTGTTCAATACAATAGCATTTTTGTTTCTAGGGCCGCTCCTTTCAGTGTTCCCCTCATAAATGTGGGGTTTCAGGTGTTTATGACCTTGTCGTAAAACATCACATTGGAGCAGGAAGTGTCATCCAAAGAAAACCTTTTTAATATTAACAAGTGTGGTTTGGCTCTATCTAAACTATCAGTTTAATTAAAAATAACGGAGTTCAGGATATTCATCTGGCATTTCTGTAGATCTGTATAATGAATATTTATAGGCTAAATAAGATCATAACTGACCTAAATGCTTTGAATTTTTCATAATTACCAGAAGTTAGGCTGTGTCCACTTACCTGTAGTGTCTAGCTTGGTAGGCTGAGGGTCGTGCTTTCCAAACAGCTGTCTCAGGAGGTCTTGCCTTACAAAGGTCAGATGCCTGTCTCCTGCCACCCCCAAATTTGTCCTTCAAGTCAATTAGATTGGATTGTGGTGTCTGTGTGGAGATTTTATAGAAGCATTCCTTTATAATTGCTGTGTATAGGGCACAAAGGCTTGCTTTAAGATGAAAGTTTGTGTTTGGTACATCAGTGTCTGGTACTGGCAGTGAGCTCTTGTAATACATGATCAGTTCCTGTACCCTTTATTAGACAGAGCCCTTCTCGACTGTCAAAGGGAGTGTGTGTGTGTGAGCACGGGTATGTGTCCTTGTTGCTCCGTAGTCTATTTCTGAAGAAGAAAGGTGTGAATCACCTGCAGGGACAGGAAATCATGCAGGCTGTTGCAGACCTCACCAAAGGGCTCGCCACTGGCTCATGGGTAGCATGTGTTTTTTCCCAGGGAAGGAAGGTGTAGTATTTTTCCCAGCTCTCATCATCCTCCCTTGACCACTCAAATTGATAATAGCTCAGGGGGTACAGGGGCTGGGTACTTCCCACTGTGGCTTCTGTGAAATGGCTGCTAGGTGTTGTGTGTTCCTAGCTTAGTTTCTCCTTGTAAGCATTTACAATACTGCTCAAACAAAAACTAGTTGTAGGCATTTCTTCCTCACTCTGAGTGCAGCTCTCCTGTAGTTTGAAGCAGTGTTTCAGAATCTTTTCATGTCATTGGGCAAGGTACCCGCAGGAGTACCTCTTGCTAGGAAGATGTTTGATATTGCACTAATATTTGGTGCTTTTTGCTATTAAAACTAAATATACATCCATGAATTCTAACTCTTGCCAGTCAATTCAACATTTGTTTTATACTCCTTTCCAAATGGTGTTTGACCAGAAAATTTAATTTTGACAACAGGGTCAATTGCTTAGTGGTGTTGTCACGCTAAAGGATCTGGAAAAAGTACTTCCTTCTGAAGTTTTACCTGTCTTCAAAGTCTTTCAGTGGAACTTTAACTGAGCTATTGTCTTTCATGGGGTGTATGCTTCCTAGTATTAATTAAAGGTGATTGTTACTTAATTACTGATTTTAATGTTTTTCCATTCAGAGTGCTTCTGAACAATGTGTAAATTCCTAGTGATAAGACTTAATTTCTCCTAAAGATCAGCTACAGAACAGCTCTTTCTACTTCATCTAGATGTCTTGGAACTTGATAAGCTAGGCTTTTACATATGTGAGGTGCCAATGTAATCCCAGCATAAATTCCTGAAGTATTTTGATAAATGAAAACTAATGATTCAGTGTACTTAACTTGTCAAAACTTCAGGTTTGCCACTCTCTCCGTAGTTTTCTGCAGTATTTTTATTGATTCCCGCTTGTTTTCTTGATAAATACAAATCCTTACAATAAAGCTAAAACATTCTGGAAGTTGGATGCCAGAATTTTCTCAGCGCTATCGGATGATGACAGCCAGTTAACTTCACAGCATCTCTCAGTACAAACAAAACATGGTGCAGTACATTTTTTGGCAGTCCAGTGGAATTTGTATCAATATGCTGTACTGTATCGTAAGTGTATCCCAGTCAGTTAAGCTTAAAAGAATGGGAACTGTTTGTTTTTTCTATTCTTTTCAGAGATTGGATCACCTCACAAGCCAATATTCTCCCCAAACATACTTCCTGTTCCTTATTCTGAGAGGCACATGTCCTGCAGATGTCTCGTTATGTTCCCACATGGTCTCATTTTTGTATTAAATTGCCTGATATAACCTGAATTTCAAAAAGACAGTCATTAGTTGTTTAATACATGCTTGTTGTAATTAGATATCTTAATCGAGCCAGTATATGTTAATAATTACTTTCTGTTCCTTTCCAGCTGATCTTGCTTTTAATTGATTAAAATATCTGATGAGCTTTTTTTTTTCTGATTAGTCTCAGAATATTTTTCCTCTAGTTGCATATTTGTAAATACCAGCAGCCTTGTGGGTAGTTACAGAAAGCCTAATCTCAAACTGGGCTAATCTTTCCTTCCTTAAAGAAGTTCCTCAGTCTGATTTGGCAACTGAGTTAAAGGCATGTGTCTCTACTGCCCCACTTGTGTATGCTCTGCAGGGAAGGAACTTTTATTTCCAAGGCTGACTAATAGTAAAGAAAATGCTTGCCTACTTTTAAGTACTTGAAAAATGTGTTTTTAAAAATACTTAGGTGCCTCTAACAATTTTGTAGAATATTAATGCATTTATGTATGTACTTGGGGGCTTTGTTGTGGTATTTGTATAAATGCAAAATCACTTGAAGGGAGTTCTTTTGTATTCTAGACTACTCAAGAAAATACATCGAGTTCATTAATGAAAGATCACCTTTTCCAACACGAAACTGTAGTAACCAGTGAACCTTACAACAGTGCAAATCTAAGGCCTTCAGCATTTGAGGATTTCAACACCAGGAGAGCCTGTTTTCCTGGCCAGCCTAACCAGGTAAGGCTACCAACAAAAGATGTTCTCAGTTTGCGTGCTGCATTGGTGGCACAGTTAAGTAGTTTTTGATAAGACAGCTCTTATATGTCACATAGTCCCAATATGTTGTGGTATACCCTCAACTTCTTGAAATCATCAAGACAAGCTTTACAGCTGAAATTACAGCATTATTGTGGCGGAGGTAAAGCTTTGTGAAGGCATCTACCTGTGCTTGTACTGCAGCAGACTACATGAATAAATCTTTCACTTTCTTTGAAGTCAGATTTCTGTATTGTAGACTTCTTATCTGCAGCCTTGAAAAGCTGTTCAGATTTGTCCAGAAAATGTTAATTGGCCATGTGCTCAATCTCAATTACTTTTATCCTAATATTGTTTTGATTAGAAATATTGAAAAGTATCTTTTAAATGGATATTTTGGATACATTACACAGTGGGGCTCCTTTGCTAAATACTTTCAGTGAAGCTTTGTTTATGCTTTCTAATTGGCTATTTAAACTAAAATACTCTATTTTGGTACAGAAAAGAAAACAGTGTATTGGTTATGCATGAAGCATACTAAGCTATTGGTAAGCAGATTCTTAAAACAAAAAAAAGCCAGTAATGCCAGGAAAGCGGATGTACAGACATTTTTTTAGAAGAGGTCATATTTACAAAGTATTGGATTGGAAAGGCAATGTTACAGCTTTTCTTTTTAAAGAATACATACTTTGCTTTTTTCTAGGCCTCAAAACTTAGTTTTTGTAGATTGTAGAATTAGACTTAATAGTGAGTTGGATAAGAAGTTGAAGGTTGTATGCCTAGAAGCAAACATGTGGGAAGCTTTTTAGAATAAACTTAATAACAAGTCAAAGAAGAATGCAAGTTCAAGTAGTTGTGAGCATGACATCAGAAGATGTTTCTGCTCCCTGAAAGAAAGCTTTTTAATACCCTTGGTTATTCTTGCAAAGAAGGATAGGATTATACTGAAGTCTTGTATCAGCTGCTTTCTAACTGCTTTATTGGGCAAAAGAAGCAAGCATTGTTAGCTAGAGAACTAACTAGACATCAGAATTCATAATTTCAAGCGTTATAATCGTTGACTGGTTCTAATTATCTCTTTGTATAAGTCACCTCGTATTTTTATTCTGTTCATCAAGAGGTACATATTTTTCCCTCTTCACGTTTTAAAAATTTTTTAAATTCGTAGAATAGATGGATGATGAGGTTATTGCAGAGAGCACTCAACAGCTAGAGTAACCAGTGAGGTATGTGCTGTTAGTCTTCATTGAGTTGTAAAGAAAAGTTTGGTAGCCTGAGTGTTTTAAGAACACATACAGAACTGGCTACTTAGAAAATGATAACTTAAGCTGCTCTATACTGGGTAGTCCTGATCTGATGGACATTAAATAGGGATTTCTTTGAAATGGCAATGCTAGAATTCAGTTCTTGTAGACTGAAGTTATGGGAGAATCCATGGAAATTTAAGTAGACGTTCTTCAAAATATTTTTCTCATATTGTAGCACCACCTGCATCTGACATTCCATGCTCTTTGCATGGGCCTGTGGTGCACACATTTAGAACACAGGCAAGTCAACAAAAACCTCGCATTCGGTATGTGCACATGCTGCACTGTCTCTGCTGAACTTCATGCATGCGACCATGTGGCACAGCAGATCTTGAGGTAAATACCTCTTTTGTTTCAATTTTGTATAAAGAAGTCTGACCACTTACTGTGCTTGAATAACTCAAGTACATGCTCAGACTGAAAGTGATTCATGACAGTTCAGTTCTTTACCTGTAATACTTTGACTGTTACTAAGAAATACCCAAGTCCCTCAGCTCTTCAGCTTCTGATACACTGATGTGTGTTTAACTTAAATTTAGTACTTCGTGATGATATATTTAGCTGCTGGTGTCCTCATACTGCAGAGCTGCAAGCTGAGCAGAGGCAGGCAGATCTCTTTGAGGACAATCAGTGGAAGCTACAGTGCCAAGCAAGTGTCTGTGCCTTCTTTCAAGGTGCACCCTTTCAAATAAGGTGTAATACTAGCGAATTGTGTCAACAAAAAAATTTCTGCCTGATTTCCAGTTGGGTAATTATGTTCATAATGAGATTCTCTGTGGAATTTCAGCTTACTATAATATTCTTCCTCCTTTCCTACTTTAGCTGTTACACAGAGAAGGTACTTGTACAGAGTTATAATTTTGAATGGCGAAAGGGCTGTGTGCATTACTCATTGAATTTTGCTGGTATTTGTATCTAACTGAATCTGGACTCTGTATTGTTCTTAAGGTTTCACGTACCTCATACTTTCATATCGGTCCCATTAAACACCCAGCGTGCAAACGCTTCTTATTTATAAAGCTTCCAACATTTCCCTTGTTTTTCATCATTTCCCGATTGCTTTCTTAAAAAATAATTTCTTAACGTCAGTTGCATCGAGAATGTAATGCTGCCTTGTTTGTACCATGTCAGACCTTAAGCATTTTAGTAGGTGTTTGGCTGGGGACTTGGAAAAAAAAATAGTTCTATTTATGTGGTGCGTCCTACTCAAAAACTCTTCGAAGACTGAGGAGATGGCAGATTTTACAGTTGTTAATATTTGTAGTGGTCTTTAGTGGCTATTAGCTGTCTGGGAAATGGGAGTTTGAAGGCAGGTGTTTTGTTTGATGTTTTGGGATTTTCTTTTAAACAATGGGTTTTATTTAATGTCTTCTATCCATGTGTAATATTCTGTGTGGACAGTGAGGACAGGGAGTGATTCTTTATGCCTGTAACATACAGAATAGTAGTGACTTTTTTTAATGCTTTTTCCCTTAAAAATTATGCTGTTAACTGTTCATAAAACCCAAATACCTGTAGCTAGTTATTGGTGCTAAACCAACAGGCTCTTTCTCTCGAGTTGAGAAGCACTCTGCCTTTATAGGCAAGGAAGAAGCCTAACTGCATGCATCGGAGTCGGTGATGCTAGCAGGATAGGATATAACCTTTCTTCACTCTGCATCCGCCAGACCTTTTGGAAGTCCAACTATGTGGCTTGGAGCCAAGAAAAAAATATTATTCTTGGCATACTCCAGTTGCAACTCCCAGGGCAAAGCAGCTCTAATTACAGTTCTGTACTTAAAATGTATAACACAAAGATTGTCAAGCAGGGAGGTGATGGTTAGAGCAGGCTACAGATACTCTTACATAATCAGAATCTGGCATATTTTAAGAAGCTATTCCTTGCTCTTCCCCAGCAGCCTTCCGTCTTCCTCCTCTGCCTCCTACCCCAAGCCAGGGCATGCAGACTTCAGTGTGGTAGGAGCATTGACATGTGCAAAGTGAAATGGAAGTGTGTTACCTTAAACATCACCTTCAGCAGTTGGCTGTTACGTGCTGCAGCAGATGAGGAGTGTGTAGTTTCACTGCTGTCCTAGACGATGGAATGGTGACACATCAGTTCTCAGTAGTTTGAGCCATACTAATACTGATGCTGAAGATGGATTCCCAAATAATTGATGATTTCAGAAGAATTTATAAGACTCTAATGGGATAGGGAGTGACATGGGGTTTTTTTTAGCCTTTTCTGTGACATGGTTTGCAGGCTGGGCACTTGACAAAAAGGTGGAACTTGACTTGAAGTTCACTTGTATTCTGGCTCTGATGATCATAGCCCCACAGTGTAGGAGAATAACTGCCTGCCTGTCAGGCAGGAGCACCAGGGCTTGCGGAGACTTCTGCTTTCTTGCTACACTACCTGCTATTTATGGGAGCTCCTTCCATACTCACATGCTAAATTTTTATCCTGTTATTATTTGTACCTTTTCTTGAAAGTCACTTGTAATGTGATTTTAGTAATATTCAGTGGCAGTCCACTACTGTCCTGGTTCTGTGTAAAAAGGGGTTCAGGGCAGGACCCACACAGAACAGAACTATGTACTCGCCTCTTCCCCCCCCGAGAGAGAGAGACGCTTTGGAAAAAATGAAGTATATTGTTTAACAAGGAACAGAAAACGAAAAAAGGGAGGTAAGGGAAATAATATATACAAAGATTAGGGGAAAAATACAAAAAATAAAATAAAATAAAATATACAAAACCCTCAGAAATGGTTCCAAGGTCCCACGGAGTGAAAGGGCAACTTCCCTTCTCGAGCTCCAGAGCAGGAGTGAAATTAGAAACCACTCCCTGCCTCTTATCAGAGTGTGTGTGGGAAGGGGAGGGAATACAATGGTTTCACCCCCACCCAGGGTCCTCCCAGTTGCTGGAAGGTCACGCCCCCATTCCAAGCCTCAAACCACAACTACCTTACACTTACATCTAAGGTCATAAGGATTTCAGTTCAGATGATTCAAATTTGCCACCTTCAATAACTTTTTCATGCCCCCCTGCCCTTTATCATAGGGCACAATAAACAATAACTCTCTCTTATCTCTCTGTTGGTTGTTTTGCATGTTTTTAACATGTTCTTTCTTACTTGCCTTTTGAGGTAAAAGGTCCTGTATTATGGCCAGTTAATTAGAAGTTGAGAATTTTAAAATTACTTAGATGTTTGCCTGCCAGTGTCTCTAACCAATTTAAGTAGGGGAGATGCATGTAGAAGCCACTGGTACTGATTGATCATGCTACTGAATATTATCCTTCACATGGCACAATCCTTACCTAGAATACAGCTTTGAGAATAATCAGCGAGTATTCAGTGCTCTTATTGCAAAGTGGAGGGAGTTTGAAAACTTAGAGCAAGAATAAAGGAAAGCTTCTCCTAGGTAACATAAGTAACCCAGCGTGAATGTATCAGAGAGTCAATCCTAACACAGTAGATCATCACTGATGTGAAATGAGCAAATTCACATAAGCTGTAGTTGATCTGTAGAATTAGGTGCCACTGTAAAGAGTTGAAACCTGAGCTTTTAGCATTTTCAAAGAACAGTGTCAAGTTCTATATGGATACCAAAACACCCAAAGTTCTTATGAGATACTAAAAACTCAGGAAAGAATACTAAATATGTAACTCCATGAGAATACTCCTGGTCCTAATTTCATGCAACAGGTTCATTATTGTGGCAAATTCCGTAAGTGGTACTAGTAAGAAAATAAGCTGAAATTTCTATCTTCAAGCAGCAAGGAAAAAAAAAATCCTGGGTTTTAATTTTCTAATCTAAGTCTTCCGTTGTAGGTGGACATAAATTTGGGACTTCACTATAGTAAACTTATCTTGCTTTGACATTTTAGGTCCCACTGAAGTCTATCAGACACGTTAGTTTTCAGGATGAAGATGAAATTGTTAGAATAAACCCTCGTGACATTTTGATACGTCGTTATGCAGACTACAGGCATCCTGACATGTGGAAGAATGACCTGGAGAGGGATGACGCAGACTCAAATATACCATTTTCTAAATCAGACAGTAAAAAATCAGACTATTTATACCCATGTGGAGATGGAACTAAGCTGAATTCCCTGAAAGACTCAAAGAGTTCTGTGGTATTTAAAACTCAACCTTCTTCATCAAAATTTAAAAACTCGAAAAGAAGAAAAGAGGATGGTGAGCGTTCCCGCTGTATATACTGCCAGGAAAGGTTTAATCATGAAGATAATGGCAGAGGAAAATGTCAGGATGCGCCAGATCCTATTAGAAGATGTATCCACCAAGTTAGTTGCATGCTTTGTGCAGAGAGCATGCTCTATCACTGCATGTCGGACTCGGAAGGAGATTTCTCTGATCCTTGCTCGTGTGACACTAGTGATGACAAGTTCTGCTTACGCTGGTTAGCACTGGTGGCACTCTCCTTCATTGCCCCATGTATGTGCTGCTACCTCCCCCTGAGAGCGTGCCACCACTGCGGGGAGGTGTGTGGGTGCTGTGGAGGGAAGCATAAAGCGGCGGGATGAGTCAGTCTGGTGCCAAACGGAGCTGAAAAATCTTTGTTTCCAGGAAGCATCTAACTTGGATTTGTGGAAGCTTTTTGGCAAGCTGAAGGGAATCTTCTTTCATGTAAGAGATGCTTGATGTGGAGGAAGCACCAAGACTTGTCAGACCTTGGCATTTTACAAGCGCTAGCCATGCCTAACTATTTCCTTTGAGCGCGTGGTGTTTGTCGCAAGTTGTGAAGGAGATTTTGCAAAGGAAAGCCTATTCTTCTTATTGGCTATAAAATGAGTATATAAACTATGATTATACTAAAAGGGATTAACTTTTGCCACTTTGTACATTCATGGTTTAGGTGAGGGGGCTCTTTTAAAAGGATTAAAACTTACCTGAGGGGAAATCTTAACTAAAAGTGCACTAGTGACAGTTGATTTAAGATTAAGAAAAGTTAATACTTGGCAAATGAGAAATGAAACTGATTTTAAGTGCAACTAAATCACTTATTAATAGTTTTTTGGAAGCGACTTTATGTATAAATAACAAATGTTTATATTTAACTAAGTGTGTAAGGTACGAATTATTACATGTTAAACTCTCCTTCCCTCTGATACAGTAGGTATGGACCATATCTACTGTCACATTCCACGGTAATATTTTAAATATTTAATTAGTTAATTTAGTCACATTTTTATTCCAGATGGACAAATTGATATTTTCAGTCCTGTTTCCCTTCAGCTACGGTTTGTGTTGAGTTGTATCCATACATTCTGATAATCTAAAAAACTTCAAAATATTAATTATTCTAGTCTTGAGTGACCAATATTTTTTTGTTAAGCACAGATGTAATTGTCTAAAATGTTCTTGTTAGAACATAACATTTATTTTTATATATAAATGACTTTGATTTCAACATAATAGCAAAACGGAAGTTGTTTCTGTTGCTCAACCAGCAAGTTGTTTTCTTTTGGGGTGTCCTCCAAAAATACTTTATTGCATATTCAAATGTTCATTAAGCGAAAGGTACATTAAGGCAGTTGTAACAAATTGTCATCAGTGTTCTTGTTTATCCTTCTGTTAAACTAGGATCCTGTTCAGCTGTTTATCAAGTACTATGATTAAAACAAAAGATTAATAACAAAAGTGAAATTGTTTTCATTATTTTGAACTGCAACTTTTTCTTACTTGAATGGGCAAGAACAAAGTACTGTGTGTGTTGTTCAGAAACAACAACAAAAGACTTAGCTTGAGAAATAAATTACAGCCCAGGCAAAATTGGAGTGAACTTTTTAATTGAGGAAATTTGGAGGGAGGATGGGGAAGGGAGGGAGGGGGAGAGGGAGTGTGCGTGTATGTATGTGTCTGTGTGGTGGTATATTGTGTACGATAGTTATGGCTTTGTACTAGCTAAGTGTTTAACTTTCAGATAATTAACTGATTACCCCGTAGAGAATTTTTTAAAACATTACATGCTTTACTCTGTCATGAAGCAAAAGATGTTTACTTCTCATTCAAGATGTGTAAACACTAAAACCAGTCATAATTCATTAGCAAAGGTGCCTATTTGATATCCCGGCTGGAGTGGGACGGACTGTCCTCAGTAGACTCCCGTATATACTCTCGTATATAAAAAAGCCTAATTGATTTTAAAAGATGCACATGACGTTCTTTTCTCCCTTCCTATGCATTTCTTCAGTATGCTGTGTGTAATTTTTTCCTTCTGCATGTATCTGTGCCCTTAATTTTCCTTTGTGGCCCAGAAGTAAAATGAGCAAATGTATATAACATTATCTGTCTGTAAAATACTTTTTAAAAGAAAACATTTATATTTATATTACAGCTTGAACTGACCACCTTGTGTACATAGATCATCTCAAAGTATTATTTCACATTGAAAAGAAGACAAATATGTTGATAACTGTAGAAGTTACGGAAGAGCTTCTAGTTTTGTATTACGAGTTGACTGGATGAATTAAGTCCAAGAACATGATACGGTAGCAGCAGTCTTTGTTTCTACTGTTTATATATTTGAAAGCTGCTACGCTGGTTGATTTTCATGCTTCACACATTTCAGCTAGACTGGGTTGCCTAGAATAGACTGTTAACTTTAAAAACAACTTTGGTAAACAAAACGGTGATGCTTTTCTAGTGAGTAAGAGGAATTTAGTGTTTGTAAATGCGAGGTTCCTAATTCAAGGTGAAGAGAGGTATGAACAACCTAAGAAAAGAACTTGCTGGCTGTATAGGAAAATGCTATAGGATTATGTTGTCTATATACTTCGGAAAGAAATGAGTTTAACACTTTCCTCTGAGCACTATATGACATAGTGAAACTCCTGGTCCTGTATGGTATTTTATATGAAGCATATGCTTTAATATTTTTATTGAATGTGTGCATTAATATTTTCACCTTGCATTTAACCACTTTGCTGCTAAAATGTTTTCACCTTTTGCTTTCCTGATCCATTTAGAAAGGGTTACTGAACTCACATATATTCACTTTTTCTTCTGGCGCTGGAAGTGTCAGCCTGCATATCCAGTTCGAGAGCAGCTAAAAGAACAGCAGAGATACGTGGTTATGTAAGAGCTGGTTTGAGTAGGATGCACACATACTTCTGGTGCTAGGAATCTTACCCACCATTACAATTAGGTGATGAGTAGTGGAAGGTGGACGTACAATAAAACTATTCCAGAATGGGCTGTTAGATCTGTACGTCTTTTTGTTTTGACAGCATGTAACATTTGTTCTCTCCTCTCTGAAAGATTTCCTTCAGCATTTCAGAAAAGAGAAGTTTCTTCCCCAATCCTTAGTCCTTCCCTTGCCCTTAACATCAAAGCTGTGGCTTGTCAGGCATGTAGTAGAAGAGCTTTGTGTTGCTTGGAGCAGAGGCCCGAGCCCATTGAATACTAAGTCCCTCGTTTATTGAAAGCCTCAGTTACCATGAAAATTAAGTATTTCCTCTTGAAAGAGAGGGAAGAAGTCAAATGATAGCTGCACTCGTGCACCATCTACTGGGGGGAAAACCATTTAGCTGCATTCAGGCATGATATTTGATTACATAGCCATTTAACTGGCTATCAGTGCACTACTTCAGCTACAAAAATACATTAAGCTGCAGCTACGAATCTACAAAATGGCTTACTGGGATTCTTTATCTCACCATGCTTCTCAAGTTTCATTATTAATACTGATTGAAAGTAAAAATCCTTTAACCATATATTTTGTTAAGTTCAAAATAGTTACAATGGCCTACTACACATGAGCATAAAAATCAGTAATGAAATTAAAATCCTTTTGATTCTGTCACTGGATTCATAAGAAAGATTTTTAATTTATTTTTTTTTCTCCCCTTGAAGTTCTTTCCCACAGCCAAGTGATGGAGTTTTGGTGTCCACACAGAGGGAGTCTGGCCTTTTGGTTAGTGATAGGAACCAAGTTTTGAGTCTGCACAGGTGGGTCTGTGCGCCCGGACATGTGATTCAGTAGTTGTGATGGACATACCTACAGCTGGGTGCAAGATTAAAGCAATATTCTGATAATAGTGTGCAACTGCTATGGTAACTGTTTAGTAAACAGCCACAAATGATGGTGTAAAACTTAAATGCCTTTCCAGAGCTTATGTAAAGGATGTTCCAAACCAACACAGTTGCCTCTAGAGAAGCCAAGGTCTCTTAAGAATGTCTTAATTTTGCACATTGGAAGATAACATTTTCATTTCAGATGTGTTCTCTACAGAATTATCTGTTCATGTTTACCTGGAGGGTAATGTTGAACTCCTGTGTAAATAATACACATGTTTAAATTAGATTTTAAATCTTTCCAGAGGTAAGGCACAATATGCAGCCAGTACAGCGATATGTTTGTATTAATAGAATGAAGATCAAGAGTGATGGCTGGCAACAAAACAGTAAATTTAAAAGGATGCCTTATGGAACTATTAGTCAGCAGCTGGGTGGATAAAACTTGGATTTCCTTCAGTACACTGATAAATGCAAGGACAGATTGGGAGGGCGTTGTTTGGTTTTGGTTTATCTGTTGTTTGTTTGTTTGTTTGTTTGGGGGGAGGGGGGTCTGGTTTGCTGAAAACTTCTCTTTAATTGCAAAAATCATGGTTCCTTTAAGAAATCAAAGCATTTGGTGAAGAAGCAGCCTTTATGTTCAAAGCTGCAGTATAGGCATATGTACATAGTTTTCCTCCTTTTGCTTGGTGCCATTTGCTTTCCACCCTGATGACTTCAAAGTGCCTCATGTGTATATTGTTTCCATTAAACCTCAACTGCTCTTTCTTTCTACTAAATGATGTATAATTTATTTAATTAATCCCATAGGCATTTCCTTTATGAATATGAATATAGCCTGTTACTTGGAGTATATGATGTAAATATGCCTTTAAGTTTGTAACTGGTTTGTTACATCATATCCTTGTAAGCTGACATAGCAGATAACACCATAAAAATTGTTTAAATGTTTTTTTTCCCTGTAATTCTCTGATTAAAACTATCTTGAAATGAAACAACTGACATGTTTTTCCATTCTGTGTGGGAATTACTTAGAAAGGTGCATATGAAATTAAATGTTGCAGCTCAATAACAGAATAAAAATATGTAAATGCAGGTAATTGTTTTGCCATAGTATTCTGCTTAGTGGTTAAACAAAAGGTTAATTAGATCATTTTAGGATTTTAAGACTGGTCAAACAAACATTTTGTTACCTTCAAGTTCCAACAGCTTTTGTCATGAGAACCATTTTTAAGAGTTGCTATAATGTTTTAAACAAAACTATGCCTGTACCAGCTTGCTTTGTGTATCTACAGTAGTGTTTGTCCTTAACATCGTGCTATGGGAGGTCAAGACTCCTTCATATAAATCATGTTTATTTGAGTTCCCACTCAACCCCGCCACAAAAGTGTGTATCTCTGAATGTAACTCTACGCTCTGCGCAAGTTAAGATATACAGCAGAAAAAGAAGGAAAAATAATCAGTCCACGGAATAGAAGGAACACACAGAAATCGGTGAGACTGTCATTTGAAAGCTCAGTGGTCAGGGTTTAGGATGGAATATTCTAAACTGAATTGTGCTTGCCTCTAGCTTTTTCAAATGTTTTCTTATTAGTTACAACCGATAAAGAAACTGTTCATCTGATCAGTTTCTAACTTGAAGAATTTTATTACTGTCGGGTGTAACCATTACATGGACTATGAACTGTTGGTACTTGAGCTTTTAACTGATGATTTGAAAATGCAGTTCTACCACAGAAAGAAAATGGGCAAATGAATCGACTAACAAGGTGAAGAGTTAATAGAGAATATTGTAGAATTACATGAAGACCACATATGAGAAAGAGACTCGGGATTAAACATAGTTTCATAAAAAATAAAAACTTAGTTCTTGGACAAATCCACCTTAAGGTCATGGATAATGCACAGTCTTCTGGTTTTGAACGAGAAAGAGGTTAGGTAAGGGGCTTTTCTTTCCATGTTTCATTCAGTCTTCTACCTTTCCTTTGGTCTTCCTTTTTTTTTTTTTCCTTTTATTTCCACAGGTAAGTCAAACTTGGTTGCTGGGTGCTATACATTAATGTTAAAAACTGAAGTTAATCCACAGACTGTAGTTTGTAGACCACAGGCCTAGTGGCCATTTTGTAAAGAGAGTTGGTAAAATATTCCAGTTAGTCCTTGCCGTATAGCAATCGATACTCAGTATTTTGTACCATGGTAGCTTGAGCCTTTTGTCTTACTGTCATGGATCACTATGCACTCCTCTAGCAAAACAGAAGACTTTAGTCTGTAGGATTATATCACCGTTTCCATCACTTGGAAACACAGGGTGTGCTATGGAGTGTAATTTAATAATTCGGAAACAGACATAACAAGTAAACAGATGAGAATAAAACAATAATCCTAAAGTGCATACTTTTAACTGGAGGTTGGAGAGTGTGTGCAAGCACACACAATTGGATGTGACTGAATTATATTTTGAGTACTGCTTCATATGTATGACTAGCAATATTTGGTTTTACCTAGAAAGAAAAGAAAGGGATAAGTCAGTTCTTCCAGAGGTTTGTAGCTCTAGATGTCCATGCTCTGGCTTGAGAAATTCGGGAATATTTGAAGAGATAATGACTTTACTGATGGAA